TACCACTACTATATACGACAGCTTCCTGTCAACAGTTGCTTATGAAGCAGTGCTTATGCCCACTGTGCCCTTAGCTGCCTACCCTTACCAGTGACAACCTCTTTCATTTATAAACCAGGAATTCTTGTCCATGTGAATAAAGGGGTGGGGATAGTGTGACATCACTGATGAAATCTGGCCATATTTAGGCAATGACATTGACAAAATATTGCTGTGGCCATATTTAGTCAGTGATGTCACCTGTAAGAGCTCGTTCTTTTTTTACTTTTAGTGGCAGAGCCCCAGCAGATGTCAGTTGGCATGAGTCAGCAATGGGATAAGACATGTCTGTTGGTCAATGGGATCTTTTTTCTTCTAGAGGGCATCAGGCTCCATTCATCTTGACTTCCATCCCTGAATAATGTGATTGACAATGCATGTGCATCTTAACTTGTTTTTGTTTAATCACTTGCCTACTGGGCACTTTCACCCCCTTTCTGCCCAGGCCAATTTTCAACTTTCATCACTGTCGCAATTTTAATGACAATTGCACGGTCCTGCAACACTGTACCCATATGAAATTTTCATCCTTTTTCACACAAATAGAGCTTTCTTTTGGTGGTATTTAATCAACACTGTTTTTTTCAGTAAAGAAGCCAAAAACAACTGAAAATTTTGAAAAAAAAAGTTTTTTCCTTTGTTTCTGTTATAAAATTTAGTAATTGAGTTTTTTTCTCCTTCACTGATGTGTGCTAATGAGACTGCAGTGATGGGCACTGATAGGCTTCACTGATGGACACTGATTGGTGGCACTAATGGGCACTGATGAAGAGGCACTGGTAGATGGCAGTGATGGGCATTCACAGACATCACTGATGGGCATTAAAAGGCAGTACTAATATATGGCACTGATAGGCGGCACTGATAGGCAGATTAGCATTTTGTATCATTTCAATTTATTATTTTTAATTCTTTCCTCATAAGGCAATCCCTGACCAGGTTACGCAATTATTTCTCCTGAATTAAAGGCAGGATAGCCTATTTCTGCTGCCACAGATGTACACTCACCAGCCACTATATTAGGTACACCTTGCTAGTTTCAAGAATATATCTCTCACACCATTACACCACCACCACTAGCCTGGACCATTGATACAAGGCAGGATGGATCCATGCTTTCATTCTGACCCTACCATCTGAATGTCTCAGCAACCACTCTGCCCATTCTCCTCTGACCTCTGACATCAACAAGGTATTTTCATCCACACAACTGCCGCTCACTGGATTTTTTTCTCTTTTTTGGACCATTCTCTGTAAACCCTAGGGATGGTTGTGCATGAAAATCCCAGTATATCATGATATTTTGAAATACTCAGACCAATCGGTCTGGCATTAACAACCATGCCACGTTCAAAGTAATTTAAATCCGCTTTCTTCCCCATTCTGATGCTCGGTTTGAACTTCAGTAAGTCGTCTTTACCACATCTACATGCCCTGAGTTTCCGCCATGTGATTGGCTAATTAGCAATTTGTGTTACCAAGCAATTGAACAGGTGTACCCAATAAAGTGGCCAGTAAGCATATATACCTATGGAATGATCTGCCTTAGGCTCTGCATTGGTAACAAAGAATGTTCACTCAAATCAAATGGAACTCCTAAACTAAAGGAGTTTACCAAAGCAAAAGGTATTACATTCAGCTTACTTTGTTGCATTGGTTGTACAGAGGCAAGTTCATGATTGCCAAAGCTGATATTACTCCCTTGCCTGACAAAGATGAAGTGTTTGATGAGAATGCACAAGCTGACCTAGCTCAAACAATCCAAAGCTTATAGCAGAAAAAAATATTGTATATGCAGCCTACTGTATAAGGCCTAAGTAGGCTTAGGCAGCTAATAAATGGTGACAGGTTTTTAAAAACTAAAAAATGTTGTATCTTGCTCTGTTCAGTCTTACTATTTTCATTTACCTAGTAATGGCATGAAATGCAAAATTGGTCAATAGTAGGTTTAATCAGGGATATAGGCATACCTGTTGTATGTCTAACTTGTATTCTATCCATGGGAATGGCAGCAGTAAAATGATTCAGTGGGCAGGGCTATGGTGAGATTACTAGAAGAGGAGGAAAGTATGCATGAGTGGCTCTACAAAGGAAAGTGGCTGCTCTGCATCTGGGGGACAATTAAATCAGGATTCCCCAAAGTGATTTTATTTCAACATAGATTAAATTGGAGCTTGGGACTTCCCAACTGTACAAAATATTATCATGTCTCGCAGATAGTACAATTGACTAAATTCTACACCACCTGACAAAATCCTCTATGATTAGGACTTGAAGCAGTAGATTGTGACCCTCTATTGACAACATTAACTAGTTAAAACCATCAGAATGTAAAAGAGTGTCTAACTCTGTTACCCTACACTCACTGATTAATGGGGTCAAAGTAAACAAACCTCTGGACTACTTTCACCACATTTATTCTTACTCTCTTTCATGTGAAATCCTATATTATACTAGAGCTATGCATGCATCACCTCTTTAAACAGCCTGGTCTGCACTGCCCCTGACCAGATTACATCAATTAGTGGGTATCGATTGAATCAAGCTTTTCCAGGTTTTACGGGAGACACATAACATTCTGAGTTCACAAGTCATAAAATTCAACACTTCTACACCAATATAATTCACCCTGGATAGATAAAAGTCTCACACCAGGCTTTGACTCCTCTTTATTAGAACCCTTAAAACACCACAAAACTAATACCAGTCTCATAGTACCCAATAACTACATCATACCCCCAAGAACCCCTTCCCAAAGCCCATTCCTACCACTTCCTACCTACCCCCACCCTCACCCAGCCTGTCCTTTGTCCTTTGCCCCCCCCTGCTACCCCCTGTACACCTTTAACACAGGATATACAACATTGTTACAGTATACTTTTATATACCATTATTGTTACATAAATTAAACTGTAACCTGTCAATGTTTCTAAAAAATTTGAACAAAAAACAACTGACTTTATCCTCCTCATTTTCTCCTATGCTCAATATCCTATACAATCCCACAATTTTTAGTAGTCTTTCGGTACACAACTTGTTACCCTGGGCACAAGTGAAATGGGACTGGCCAGCAATGGTGGGACTCACCTGCCTTTTGATCTGCAGTACCAGGGCTGGCCAGCGGGTGCTCCCAGCAATCAGAGACTCAACCTTTCAGCCAGCTAACACCTGGAACTGATGATACTGGTGTATTTAAGGGATGGCCAGACTTGCAGACTCTGCCTTGGTGTTGTGTTTGTCCTGGGCCCTGTATCTGTCCTGCATCCTGTTTCTGTTCCTTTGCTGACCCTGCCTGATCTGAACCGCTGCTGACTTCTCCTGCTCTGATCCCGGCTCGCTCCTGACCATCCCTCTGCCTGACCCTCTGTACCACGCTGCTTGCTACCTGTTCTGATCCCTGGCTTGTGACCCTGACCATCCCTCTGCCTGACCCTCTGTACTACGCTGCTGGCTACCTGCTGAACCTGGCCTGTGACCCCGACCCATCTCCGCTTGCTCCCCCTGTACCTACCTGCCCTATTGATATTGACCCGGCCTGCCTGACGACGCTTGCTTGTATGTACTGTTATCTGTGGGTGGTTGGTTTGGTTTGTTTGCACTGTATTATGTTTTAGTATTGCACTGCGTTTATGTTTGTATGGTTAGTGTTAATAAATTATATTGTTTATCACATATCTGAAGTCTGCATTTCCCTGCATCAGTCACACACCTCTGGTCACACCTGGGAGCCCTGACATTACACCAAGGCCAATCCTGATCAGAAGTGGCTGCACAGGGAAGCCATCTTGGCTTGTTGCTGGGAAGGATGGATCTGGATGAGGTTGAGTATTTATCTCTGCTAGTGCTTGATGACAGGAAATATGCTTATCAGACTCTGAAGGAGTATCCCTGGGATGAACTGCTAGAATGTATACGGCTCGCTCATGTTCTAGTAGATCAGGGCACAGATTTCTCTATGGTGCAGCCATTGATTAAGGTTTGTGTTGAGTTGGTTTCATCTGGTTCCCCCGAATGCAGGGATGAATTTTTGCCACCATTTAGTGCAGACCAGGTAGAGTCCCTGGAGTGGTTATTAGAGGATGATGTGGGTTACTTTCTGGAGCATTATTCCACATGTTCACCACAGACACTAAGAGATTGTATAAACGCAGTGCAGCCTTTGGTCAGACAGGCTTTGTGTAAGCTCAGCTTTGTTCAATCCATACTGCAGACATGGACAGACTTGTTGCACCCAGCCTCAGTCAGCTTACAAAGACCCAGTCCTGCTTCTAATCTATTTCCTCAAAGCTCTACTCCTGTATTCCCAACAACTCCCCCAGTTACAGCCCAGTATACTTGGCTATCTACCGCATGTCAGTACCCTGTTCCCACTCGCTGCACCTATCCTGCCTTTAACCCTGTAAAAAAGCCCTCTGTAGCAACTGCTCCCTCTCCTGTTCCATCCTCCAGTTCTTCTCTGTCTCCAGCTGCTCCATTCGTTTGCAGACCTGCGTTTTACTTGCAGTGCTCCAGTAGTTAAAACCAGAAAAAAGCGAAAAATTCTTTCCAACCAATACCATCCTGCCAGTATCCAAACCGGTGAACCTGCCTTCCGTGGTTCAGCCTGAAGCCTCTACTCAGCCTGAATCCTCTACTCAGCCTGAATCCTCTACTCAGCCTGATGCCTGTACTCAGCCTGATGCCTGTACGCAGCCTGATGCCTGTACGCAGCCTGATGCTCTCTTCTGCCTGAAGCCTCTACTCGGCCTGAAGCCTCTACTCGGCCTGGAGCCTCTACTCGGCCTCAAGCCTCTACTCGGCCTGGAGCCTCTACTCGGCCTGGAGCCTCTACTCGGCCTGAAGCCTCTACTCGGCCTGAAGCCTCTACTCAGCCTGAAGCCTCTACTCAGCCGGACGCCGGCATTCAGCCTGATGCCTCTACCCAGCATGATGAACTGATCCAGCCTGACGATCCTATTAGGCCAGTTTGACTCGATGCCCGCTGTTGATCCAGATGATCCGGTACCTGATCCGGTGCCTGCCATCGTGCCGATTGACTCAGAGCCCGCTGTCGTACCTGGTGACTCGGTGCCCACTGCCTTGCCAGATGACGCGGTGCCCGCTGGCGAGCCAAATGACCTGATGCCTGGTGACCCAGGGCCCGCTGTCATACCTGGTGACCCGATGCCCGCTGTCGAGCCAGATGATCCAATGCCTGGTGACCCGGTGCCCACTGTCGTGCCTGTTGACTCGGAGCCCACTGCCTTGCCAGATGACGCGGTGCCCGCTGGCGAGCCAAATGACCTGATGCCTGGTGACCCAGGGCCCGCTGTCATACCTGGTGACCCGATGCCCGCTGTCGAGCCAGACGATCCAATGCCTGGTGACCCGGTGCCCACTGTCGTGCCTGTTGACTCGGAGCCCACTGCCTTGCCAGATGACGCGGTGCCCGCTGTCGAGCCAAATGACCTGATGCTGGTGACCCGATGCCCGCTGTCCCAGTCAGACGATCCAATGTCTGACCCAGTACCCGCGGTCATACCAGTTGACTCGGAGCCCACTGCCTTGCCAGATGACGCGGTGCCCGCTGTCGAGCCAATGACTTGATGCCTGGTGACCCGATGCCCGCTGTCCAGTCAGACGATCCAATGTCTGACCCAGTGCCCGCGGTCATACCAGTTGACTCGGAGTCCACTGCCTTGCCAGATGACGCGGTGCCCACTGTCGAGCCAAATGACCTGATGCCTGGTGACCCGATGCCCGCTGTCCAGCCAGACGATCCAATGTCTTACCCAGTGCCAGCGGTCATGCCAGTTGACTCGGAGCCCACTGTCGTGCCTGGGTGACTCGGTGCCCGCCGCTTCGCCTGGGGGCCCCGAGACCTGTCGCTCCGCCTGGGGGTCCGGCGCCCGCCGCTCCGCCTGGGGGTCCCGGCGCCCGCCCGCCCCGCCTGAGGCCTGAGACCTGTCGCTCCGCCTGAGGGCCCGAGACCTGTCGCTCTGCCTGGGGGTCCGGCGCCCGCCGCTCCGCCTGAGGGCCCGAGACCTGTCCGCTCCGCCTGGGGGTCCGGCGCCCGCCGCTCCGCCTGAGGGCCCGAGACCTGTCGCTCCACCTGGGGGTCCGGCACCCGCCGCTCCGCCTGAGGGCCCGAGACCTGTCGCTCCACCTGGGGGTCCGGCGCCCGCCCCGCCACCTGAGGGCCCGAGACCTGTCGCGCCTCCACCTGGGGGTCCGGCGCCCGCCGCTCCGCCTGAGGGCCCGAGACCTGTCGCTCCGCCTGAGGGCCTGAGACCTGTCGCTCCGCCTGGGGGGGGGTCCGGCGCCCACCGCTCCGCCTGGGGGCCCGATGCCTGTCGCCCTGCCTGGGGGCCCGATGCCCGTCGCCCCGCCTGGGGGCCCGATGCCTGTCGCCCCGCCTGGGGGCCCGGCGCCCGCCGCTCCGCCTGGGGGCCCGATGCCCCTGTCGCCCCGCCCTGGGGGCCCGGTGCCTGTCGCCCCGCCCGGGGGGCCCGGTGCCCGCTGGCTCCGCCCGGGGGCCCGGTGCCCGCTGCTGCCGCCGGGGGCCCTGGTGCCTGCTGCTCCGCCTGATGGGCCCCTGCCTGCTGCTCGCTGGTAATCCGATGTGCCTCTGCCCGGAGTCCTGCCCGATGTGCCTCTGCCCGGAGTCCTGCCCGATGTGCCTCTGCCCGGAGTCCTGCCCGATGTGCCTCTGCCCGGAGTCCAGCCCGATGTGCCTCTGCCCGGAGTTTAGCCCGATGTGCCTCTGCCCGATGTGCCTCTGCCCGATGTGCCTCTGCCCGGAGTCCAGCCCGATGTGCCTCTGCCCGGAGTTTAGCCCGATGTGCCTCTGCCCGGAGTCTAGCCCGATGTGCCTCTGCCCGGAGTCCAGCCCGATGTGCCTCTGCCCGGAGTCCAGCCCGGTGTGCCGCTGCCCGGAGTCCTGCCCGGTGTGCCAGTCTTTGATATCCCGCCAGTTACCAGACCCGGGCGGTGGAACATTTTGCCCAGCTAGGACTGTTTGGAGCGTCCTGAGGCCGCTCCTTGAGGGGGGGGGTACTGTCAGGAATGGACTGGCAGCAATGGTGGGACTCACCTGCCGTTTGATCTGCAGTACCAGGGCTGGCCCAGCGGGTGCTCCCAGCAATCAGAGACTCAACCTTTCAGCCAGCTAACACCTGGAACTGATGATACTGGTGTATTTAAGGGATGGCCAGACTTGCAGACTCTGCCTTGGTGTTGTGTTTGTCCTGGGCCCTGTATCTGTCCTGCATCCTGTTTCTGTTCCTTTGCTGACCCTGCCTGATCTGAACCGCTGCTGACTTCTCCTGCTCTGATCCCGGCTCGCTCCTGACCATCCCTCTGCCTGACCCTCTGTACCACGCTGCTTGCTACCTGTTCTGATCCCTGGCTTGTGACCCTGACCATCCCTCTGCCTGACCCTCTGTACTACGCTGCTGGCTACCTGCTGAACCTGGCCTGTGACCCCGACCCATCTCCGCTTGCTCCCCCTGTACCTACCTGCCCTATTGATATTGACCCGGCCTGCCTGACGACGCTTGCTTGTATGTACTGTTATCTGTGGGTGGTTGGCTTGGTTTGTTTGCACTGTATTATGTTTTAGTATTGCACTGCGTTTATGTTTGTATGGTTAGTGTTAATAAATTATATTGTTTATCACATATCTGAAGTCTGCGTTTCCCTGCGTCAGTCACACACCTCTGGTCTCACCTGGGAGCCCTGACACCAACTGTCTGCAGATTCAATAGCTAAGAACCTCCAAACTTTGTGTGACCTTCAAATTAGCAGAACAAAAGTGCGTAGAGAGCTTCATGGAATAGGTTTCCATGGCCGAGCAGCTGCATCCAAGCCTTACATTACCAAGTGCAATGCAAAGTTTCGGATGCAGTAGTGTACAGCACTGAGCCACTGGACTCTAGAGCAGTGGAGACATGTACTCTGGAGTGATGAATCACACTCTGTCTGGCAATCCGATAGACATGCCTGGGTTTGGCAGTTACCAGGAGAACGATACTTGCCTGACTGCATTGTGCCAAGTGTAAAGTTTGGTGGAGGGGGGATTATGGTGTGGGTTGTTTTTCAGGGGTTGGGCTTGGCCTCTTAGTTCCAGTAAAGGGAACTCTTAAGGCGTTAGCATACCAAGACATTTTGGACAATTTCATGCTCTCAACTTTGTGGGAACAGTTTGGGGATGGCCCCTTCCTGTTCAAACATGACTACGCACCAGTGCAGAACGGAAAGGTCCATAAAGACATGAATGAGCGAGTTTGGGTGGAGGAACTTGACTGGCCTGCCTTGACCTGACTTGAGTCCTGACCTTGACCCGACAGAACGCCTTTGTGATGAATTAGAGCGGACACCGACATCAGTACATGACTTCACAAATTTGCTTCTGGAAGAATGGTCAAACATTCCCATAGACACACTCCTAAACCTTGCGTACTGCTTTCCCAGAAGAGTTGATGCTGTTATAGCTTCAAAGGGTGTTCAATATTGAACCCTACGGACTAAGACTGGAACGCCATTAAAGTTCATGTGTGTGTACAGGCAGACATCCCAATGCTTTTGGCAATATAGTGTGTATATATATATATATATATATATATATACACACAGTGGGGTAAAAAAGTATTTAGTCAGCCACCAATTGTGCAAGTTCTCCCACTTTTAAAAAGATGAGAGAGGCCTGTAATTGGCATCATAGGTAGACTTCAACTATGAGAGACAAAATGAGAAAAAAAATCCAGACAATCACATTGGCTGATTTGGAAAGAATTTATTTGCAAATTATGGTGGAAAATAAGTATTTGGTCAATATCAAAAGTTCATCTCAATACTTTGTTATATATCCTTTGTTGGCTATGACAGAGGTCAAACGTTTCCTGTAAGTCTTCACAAGGTTGGCACACACTGTTGCTGGTATGTTGGCCCATTCCTCCATGCAGATCTCCTCTAGAGCAGTGATATTTTGGGGCTGTCGCTGGGCAACACGGACTTTCAACTCCCTCCAAAGGTTTTCTATGGGGTTGAGATCTGGAGACTGGCTAGGCCACTCCAAGACCTTGAAATGCTTCTTACGAAGCCACTCCTTCGTTGCCCGGGCGGTATGTTTGGGATCATTGTCATGTTGGAAGACCCAGCCACGTTTCATCTTCAATGCCCTTGCTGATGGAAGGAGGTTTGCACTGAAAAGCTCACAATACATGGCCCCATTCATTCTGTCCTGTACATGGATCAGTCGTCCTGGTCCCTTTGCGGAGAAACAGCCCCAAATCATGATGTTGCCACCCCCCATGCTTCACAGTAGGTATGGTGTTCTTTGGATGCAAGTCAGCATTCTCTCTCCTCCAAACACGACGAGTTGTGTTTCTACCAAACAGTTCTATTTTGGTTTCATCTGACCATATGACATTCTCCCAATCCTCTTCTGGATCATCCAAATGCTCTCTAGCAAACTTCAGACGGGCCTGGACATGTACTGGCTTAAGCAGGGGGACACGTCTGGCACTGCAGGATCTGAGTCCCTGGCGGCGTAGTGTGTTACTGATGGTAGCCTTTGTTATGTTCGTCCCAGCTCTCTGCAGGTCATTCACTAGGTCCCCCCGTGTGGTCCTGGGATTTTTGCTCACCGTTCTTGTGATCATTTTGACCCCACGGTGTGAGTTCTTGCGTGGAGCCCCAGATCAAGGGAGATTATCAGTGGTCTTGTATGTCTTCCATTTTCTAATTATTGCTCCCACAGTTGATTTGTTCACACCAAGCTGCTTGCCTATTGCAGATTCAGTCTTCCCAGCCTGGTGCAGGTCTACAATTTTGTTTCTGGTGTCCTTCGACAGCGCTTTGGTCTTCACCGTAGTGGAGTTTGGAGTGTGACTGTTTGAGGTTGTGGACAGGTGTCTTTTATACTGATAACAAGTTCAAACAGGTGCCATTGATACAGGTAATGAGTGCAGGACAGAGGAGCCTCTTACAGAAGAAGGTACAGGTCTGTGAGAGCCAGAAATCTTGCTTGTTTGTAGGTGACCAAATACTTATTTTCCACCATAATTTGCAAATAAATTCTTTCCAAATCAAAAACCGATGTGATTGTCTGGATTTTTTTTTCTCATTTTGTCTCTCATAGTTGAGGTCTACCTATGATGCCAATTACAGGCCTCTCTCATCTTTTTAAGTGGGAGAACTTGCACAATTGGTGGCTGACTAAATAATTTTTTGCCCCACTGTATATGACCTCTTTTATCAGCAGCATGAAGGCCTTGCAAGGTGGTTGGAGACTGCAGGGGGTCATGACCACTGATTTAGTGTGCAGGGGGGGTGTCAGCAGAATTCTGACCATTGGCGTACAGGCAGGCTGCGCTCCCACATAGAATGGAAAGAATTAAACTGATCATGGGATGGATATGATTCCATGTTCTAGTGTGTTCAGTTTGAAAATAAGAAATCAGGGGGGCTGGCAAGGTCACCAAATTTTCCACACAAAGGAAGCAATGTAAAGGGAACAGGGTACTTGTTAATATATGTACATGGTAACAGAAGCACATATCAGAAATATGAAATGCTGGGGTAACCTACAATTTAAGTTGTTTAACATAACATTAGAGAATTTAGTTG